TAAACAAGATCTCAATCGAACAACCGTACTTCTTCCCTATGCCACCATTATGTTTTCTAATTAATTTCGTTCTATTTTGCAGACATTATTTACTTATCTCCACCACTAATTTGTTGTTTTTCGAATAATACGTCATACAGGGCATACGGTTCAGTGTAGACAAACTTACAACAACCACGCTCTTGAAACAAAGAAGCAGGAGAAACTGAATAAAAAGAAAAAAAATTCTAGAAATATTCTTTTGGGTCACACTCTTTTATCCCTAACGAACTAAAAACTTCTGAATCAAATTTGTGAAAATTTTTAATCTTACACTGTTAACCAGTCCCCTTCTGTAAGAGCTTCGTTTCATCAATGTCAATGCTTCTTATGTTCAAGCTTTTCTACCGCTTTTCTTTCTTTGAAGTGACAATGCCATGTTTTAAGCTATCTAACGCCTCTGTTCCTCTGGTCAGCCCTTCCCAATGCCATTCCCTTCAACCCAACCCAGCAGGGCGGCTTTTCAGTGGGCCACTTGTCAATGTTGTGTATTGCACTCTGGACGTTCTTTATGGGATGATGAATAGGTGTAATGGTGTTTGCTGGTGCCTCAAATCCGCAAGGTTTATTGAGCTAATCAGAGCTAGCGGAAGAAACTGTCTCACTCTCAGGAACCACCGACGTGTTCGCTCTCTGAAATCGGTCCTGACGAAAGGATTTCTTACTGAGTCTCAGATCATCACTCCTTTCTTACACTTTCTCATTCTTTCCTCAAGTTACACCTAGAGCATGGATTGCTAATTTTCATATATAGAATTTCTTTCGAAAAATGTAATAAATAAGTTGAGACATTGCTTTAGGTCATTTTTTCAATTTCATTTTTTATAAAGTCAAGAGAAGGATAGCAGATCATTTGAGCCTCCAGCACGACATGGATCGCATGCACTTTCATACATTTACTCGTTTGGTCACCTTCCCAACTGTTGAACAAATTCCAAGGTTTCTTTGTACAAAATCGAAAATCAGCTTTAACGCTACCAATGCTCTAAAATCATTTGAAACTCTGCAAACTTTCCCTAGTTTCTTATTTTTTATTTCCCCATCGATTTTTCCTTAGGTCACTACATGAAGAACGGGATAAGTTATATCGTCTTTGCAACCTACCCAGATGGGTGTCTAGATAGTTACTACTTTACTACAGCCACTGGAACTGTTTTTGAGGGGGCATTAATGTCAGTAGTAGAGCCCATGGCATCACCTGTCGTCCCACTGAACGCCGATTTGCTCGAGTAGTCGCCAGTATGGTCTCCATTCGTCCCTGTCTCTAGCCAGTGTAGTCCAGTGGATCCTGTTCACTCAAGAGACACCGAAATAGCACTTCTTTTATTCAGGACATTCGTGAAAAAGCTAGATCATAGCACTTGCAACTGATCTGGTGCTCCTTCGACGTCCCAAGGTATTCATTCAGTACAGCCTTGGTCCAAAGGTCATCACAAAATCATATGACGTGCCCCGCCCATCTGATCTGGAACTTCTTGGCAGACGCAATGGCCTCCCTGATCTTCATGCGCTGCGGGGGCTCAGAACTCCAAAGTACCTTCGCACTCGCTAGAAACCCCGAGCACTGCCATTTTCATGGTACTCAAGTTTGAAATCCGCTTCTACTTTTATTTATTTGTAAAGAGAACCATAGACGGACATCAAAGCTGCTTTGCTAGACAGCGATAGAAAGCCAAACTTAACCTCGTTTTGCTAAATTCATTCCACCTCTATACTGCGCAGTGATGAGATGGTAGATGGTGATAGCCCCGTCTATCCCGATCGCCAAACAATTTTTGGCTAGTTGCCTCGTCTTGTTGGTACATAATCCATTTTGATCACTTTTTTTTCAATTTGGACACTGTTCGCTCAATTTGGATGTTGAATTATTCGTACCCGATGTAAATGATCCATTGAACTGATAGCCATTTAGGGAGAGGATGCTGACGTGGCTGTCCTGTCGTAGTATCTCTACCAGCTGTCGGGCAGCACGCAGGTACGTCTTTAGTGCAGTGAGACAACTCTAGTTCATATAAATTCTCTAACTAAACGGTCCTCATTCTCCTATTGAAATCATATCTTTCATTAACAAAGACTGAATTCAGGGCAAACTTCCTTATACACGGTAATGACTTTCTGG